TTTAATCTCATATTACATTAGCTCTTCGCCTGGGAGTCGAACCCAGCTTTCGCGCGTCCGAGAGTCAATGACAGGCGCGTGTACTAACCGATATACTAGCGAAGACTTGTGAAAGGCTATCTAGTGCATAATAATGGTGAAATCTGCCTCAAGTCAGTTTCCATCCATGCCAGAGGGTGTTCCCATACCGTGTTTTGCCTCAAAAACATTTCTGGCTCCAGGCGTCATTCGCAGTTCAGTTTGGGCTACCAGAAGATAGGAAGCCAAGGACAGTACGAGTACATAGGTTAAAGCGCTGTGAAGCTGTGAATAACAAGGCAGTGGTTCGACTGACGCTTGAGTTTGGGTTGCTGGGTGCCGAGTTTGAGCTGAGAGCTTTTAGACCAGTGTACCACTTGATACTGTTTAGTTGATGACAGGCGCGTGTACTAACAGACGCTGTGGGAAAAGTGTCAGCATGTCAGCGGAGTAAAATTTCGGCGGAAGTATACAGGACCGGCGGAATGATGTGGCGGAGTTGGAGAATTGCTTTGCTTGTTGTCGCCGCCGTCCACAATGCTGCAGCCGTCGCCGTCGCCGTCGTCGTCCACAATGCTGCAGCCGTCGCCGTCGCCGCCGTCGTCCGTCTCGTCCTCGCGCTCGTCCGCGTCCCGCCTGTCGTTCCTCAGCACGTCGTCGTCGTCGACGCTCTCGGACTTTTCCGTGTGCTCGCTGCCGTCGCCCCCGGCGTCGGGCTCCAAGACGCACGCATTCTTCGCGTCGCCGTTCCCCACGCGGCCGCCGTCGCCCACGCCCGCGCCGCCGCCGCCGTCGACGAAGACGCATGCGTTCTTTGCGATCCCGGCCATCGACATCTCGCTGCCGACGCCGACGACGCCCAAGCCCGCGCCGCCGTCCGACAGCGAGCCGACGCCGCGCCCCAGAGACCGCGAGCCCGCGCTGAGCCTGCTGCCCGTCGAGGCGCCCGCGGACGAGCCCGGCGCCGGCTCGGTCGTCTCGGAACAGAGCACGGCGCTGCGCCTCGTCCAGCCGCTCGGCCACGGCGCCTTCTCCAGCGTCTGGCTCGCCGACGACCTCTCCCCCGTCCCGCTCGTCCTCCGCTCCCGCCGCAGCCTCCACGACCTCCGCCGCCAGGCCTCCCTCAAGTCCCCGAGCAGCGCCACGTCCCCGCCGCCGTCCGCCGCACGCTCTGTCTCTCTCTCGCTCAGCCGTGCGGGCTCGCTGCGCCGCCTCCGTGCGCGCGTGCCTGGCACCAGGCCCATACGGCGCCACGCCTGCGAGGCAGAGGCGGACGAGCAGGGCGTGCTCACGTCCAGCCTTTCGAGAGCCTCGCACGGCGTGCTCACGTCCAGTCTTTCGAGAGCCTCGCACGGCGTGCTCACGTCCAGTTTTTCGAGAGCCGAGCAGGGCGTGCTCACGTCCATTTCGAGAGCCTCGTCCACGTCGTCGACCTCGTCGCACAGACACCGCCCGCCCGCGATCTCGATCGTGGACCCCGCGTCGCCCCCCGCGAGCAAGGGCCGCCTCGTGGCCGTCAAGATGACCGTGCGCGGGGGCGCGGCGGTCGAGGACGACGAGCGCGAGAAGGAGAAGGAGCGCACACGGGTCGCGTTCGTCCGCGAGGTCGAGGTGCTGCGCGTGAGTCCGCCTCTCGTCTCCCCGTCGCCGTCTGACCGATGACCCCCGCGCAGCACATCGCGCACCCGAACATCACGCCGCTCCTCACGCACCTCTCCACGCCCACGCACCACGTCCTCGTCCTCCCCTTCCTCCCCGGCGGCGACCTCCTCCAGCTCGTCAACACCGACGCCGCCTGGTCCCGCCTCCGCGAGCGCGTCCTCCAGCGCATCTGGCACGAGCTCTGCAGGGCCGTCGCGTGGATGCACAGCGTCGGCCTCGTGCACCGCGACATCAAACTCGAGAGTGCGTAGCCCTTCGCCATCCTCACGCAGACGCTGACTCCGCTCCCACAGACATACTCCTCACGACACCGATATACACCGCCCTCCTCCCCACCTCGCCCGCGCCGACACCCGCGGACCTCCCCGCGCCCCCGGCGCCGCTCATAAAGCTGACGGACTTTGGCCTCTCCCGCTTCGTCGACATCCGCTCGCAGGAGGAACGCAGACGCGACCGCCGCGCGCGCAGAGCGGCGGGACAAGGCGGTGCCGACGCCGACGCAAACCCTGAAAACGACGACGAGGACGAGGACGACGACGACGAAGGCCCGCTCCTCTCGACGCGCTGCGGGAGCGAGGCGTACGCCGCGCCCGAGCTCGTGATGGGCGGGTCCGCGGCGCGGCGCAGCGAGCCGTCGCCGCCGCGCGCGTGCGCCTCGCGGGCGGGGGCGGGGGCCAAGGCAGAGCACGGACGCGAACGCGAACGCGAGCGCAAGGGCGTGTACGACGCGCGCGAGACGGACGCGTGGGCGTGTGGCGTCGTGCTGTACGCGCTCGTGGGGCGGCGGCTGCCGTTCGGCGAGGGCGCGGGCGCGGGCGCGGGGGCCGGTGGTGGGATCGCGCGGGACGGGGAGGGTGCGTCGCACGCACACGCGCATGCGCGGGGGCGGATGGCGCGGCGGGCGTGGTTGATGCGGATTGCGCGGGGGGAGTATGAGTGGCCTGAGGTTGAGGCTGAGAGTGATGTTGGGGAGGGGGGAGGGGGGGAGTTGGTTGGGCCTGCGCTTGCGCGGTCCGAGGGCGCGCGCCGGGTTGTGGGGAGGTTGCTTGTGAGGGACCCGAGAAGGCGTGCGAGGATTGCGGATTTGTGGGGCGATGTGTGGATGGGGGGGAGTGGGGAGGTCAAGTTGGAGTTGGGGTTGGGTGATGTGGAGAAGGAGGAGGGGGAAGATAAAGAAGAGGAGGAGGAAGAAGAGCAAGAAGAGCAAGAAGAGGAAGAAGAGGAAGAGGAAGAAGAAGAGATGGGAGAGGAAGAGCTCGAAGAAGCGCTTCGGGAGGCCGAGGCGGAGGTCGAGACGGACGGGTGGCTGGTCGACCAGGAGGGGATCGGGGACGTTGCGCGGCGGGAAGTCGTCTGATCCACTCGAAGAAAACAAAAGTCTGAAGAATACCCGGACCGCGGAGGTCTACGCGCCGCGTTCTGAATCCTGACGTCTGTCTGCCTGCCTCTTGTCTGTGCTTCTTGTCTCTGTCCGCGTTCGCGTCCGCGTCCGCTTGTCTGGGTTCTGCTGCTCTCCTCGCCTGCTCTTGATACGATAAACGCCGCTGCCACCCCACCACCACCATCACCAACAGATAAATATATATATATGTATACAAGTGTGTATCGTATACGCGCCACATCCCTCCTACCCCCTCTGTATCCACCCACACAAACCACCCCCGCGAAATGATGTATAAAATAAAAATGAAAACCCGACTTGACATACGTATACAACTTATACTTATACTACTGTTTCTGATACTACTACTTGGTATTTATTCCCTCCTTTTTCCCTTTACTCTTCTCCCACCCAGACCCAGACCAGCCCAGCCTACCCAGACCCCGGCCTAACCCAAACCTGTGCCATATCCAACCCAACGTGTATATATACCTGCCTGCCTGCCTACCTACACAGACACCCGCCGCGCCGCGCGTCTCCGAACTAATCCCGTTATACTTATTATGCTTTTCTTTTCGCTCTTGTGCTCTTGCGCTCTTGTGCTTTTCTCTGTCGTCGCGTCGTCAACAAGACGTAATGTGTTGTTCGTAGTGTTATAAATCCATGTTTTTTTAGCAGTAGTAATAAGGGGGAGGGTGCTGTGATCGTGGGGAAGCGAAGAGCGGGGAGAGTAGTGGAGTCGCTCTTGCTGTTCGTGTGGTGCATATTCGTTGTCAAAGTCCCCTTTGGGATAGGGGCTGGGAATTCCTTTGAGCCATTTTGTTTTGGTAATGTGAAATGTGGGGGCGTCGGGAAGCGAAGAGCGGTGGCGTATGCGTAAACGGATAGAGGTGAGGTGACAGAGTTCCTATTGCTGTTCATGTGGATTTGGGTTACATACTTTCGGGTCTGCAACATTTTAGGGTCTATATCCTCTTCTAGCTGGCCAAGAGGATGCAGGATGCATGTATGTATACGGACTCCGAGTCGGCCCTGCGATGCATTGGGAGAGGCTCAGGCTTTGGTGATAACAGATGAAGGCTTGAAGGATCGCTGACCGCTGGCAGATAAGTTTGGAGTTCGAGCTTCCTAGTCAGGATAATGTTCGTTTGGGCGCTATGCCATCCTTGGACCTTGGATGATCGTCTTACTGACAGTCCAAACTGACTTCACAGCACAACAGGGCACGCTGGTGCATCGCACCGGAAGATTTCAAGGTAGTGATACATGATCATATTCGATTTAGCTAGTATAGCGAGTGAGCAAGCGTGACAATTTATTCTGGAGCAGGGAACTACGACGCTATACGTTAGTACGCTGAACTTTGAGCTGAATGCCAACGACATACCAATTTTGACATTCATTTCGTGCTTGTCACCTCACTCACTGACAAATCCAGCTAACCTAGAGAAGGGTGTCCATATTCTTCAAGATTCCTAGAACGCTTAAAATGCCCGACCTAAGAAATTATAAATACAGTCACTTCGATGATCAACTTGGTCAAATGATGATCCTCTTACTGGGGGTCCCTCTCATCAATGTCTACAATCTGAATCAGTTTAATTGTTCGGAAATGAGCTAGCAGCACTTACTAGCGCGTGAATCGACGATTCCCTCGAGCTCCCTCGGTTCAAGGGGCGAACCAAGGGAGATGGCTGCAAGAGTGGCAGCGACGAAGAGGACGACGGTACGGAAGGAAGTCATTGCGATGAGTTGCGATACTGGGTTGGATACCAACTGGATGTCACTCGCTGGGGTGATGGGGCAGAGAGGATTTCTGTAGGGCGACCTTTATAGCATACCTATCAGGATATACACTGTAATCAATTAGACACAAGCCCTTAAACTCTGGAGGAAGACAGGAGAAGAAGAAGTACGAGTCAAGTCATCGGAAGGTGTCTGATGGATTCTAAATTCTATTCACAAGTATCAGGATGTCCGTCTCAAAAGGTTTAGGTTTTCTTGTTCGGCGTTTGCAACACAAAAGCATAAGGCTCAGGTTGAT